GTGTTGATTAGAGTAGGTGTTGATTAGAGTAGATGTTGATTACAGTAGATGTTGATTTAAGTAGATGTTGATTTAAGTGGGTGTTGATTTAAGTAGATGTTGATTTAAGAAGGTGTTGATTAAAGTAGGTGTTGATTAGAGTAGGTGTTGAGTAGAGTAGATGTTGATTTAAGTAGATGTTGATTTAAGTAGGTGTTGATTTAAGTAGGTGATGATTTAAGTAGGAGTTGATTAGAGTAAATGTTGATTTAAGTAGGTTTTGATTAAAGTAGGTGTTGATTAGAGTAGGTGTTGATTAGAGTAGATGTTGATTTAAGTAGATGTTGATTTAAGTAGGTGTTCATTTAAGTAGGTGTTGATTTAAGTAGATGTTGATTTAAGTAGATGTAGATTTAAGTCGGTGTTGATTTAAGTAGAAGTGATTAAAGTAGGTGTTGATTAGGGTAGGTGTTGAGTAAAGTAGGTATTGATTTAAGTTGATGTTCATTTAATTAGGTGTTGATTAAAGTAGGTGTTGATTTAAGTAGGTGTTGATTTAAGTAGGTGTTGATTAAAGTAGATGTTGATTAGAGTAGGTGTTGATTAGAGTAGATGTTGATTAGAGTAGATGTTGATTTAAGTAGGTGTTGATTAGAGTCGATGTTGGTTAGAGTAGGTGTTGATTTAAGTGGGTGTTGATTTAAGTCGGTGTTGATTTTAGTAGGTGTTCATTAAAGTAGGTGTTCATTTAAGTAGATGTTGATTTAAGTGGGTGTTGATTTAAGTGGATGTTGATTTAAATGGTTGTAGAATTAAGTGGGTGTCGATTTAAGTAGGTGTTGATTTAAGTAGGTGTTGATTTAAGTAGGTGTTGATTTAAGTAGATGTTGATTTAATTAGATGTTGATTTAAGTGGGTGTTGATTTAAGTGGATGTTGATTTAAGTGGGTGTTGGTTTAAGTAGGTGTTGATTTAAGTAGGTGTTGATTTAAGTAGATGTTGATTTAAGTTGATGTTGATTTAAGTACGTGTTCATCTAAGTAGGTGTTGATTAGAATAGGTGTTGATTAGAGTACGTGTTGATTAAAGTAGGTGTTGATTTAAGTTGGAGTTGATTTTAGTAGATGTTGATTTAAGTAGATGTTGATTTAAGTGGGTGTTGATTTTAGTAGGTGTTGATTTAAGTAGGTGTTCATTTAAGTAGGTGTTGATTTAAGTTGGTGTTGATTTACGATGTTGATTTAAGTAGATGTTGATTTAAGTAGATGTTGATTGAAGTAGGTGTTGATTTAAGTAGGTGTTGATTTAACTAGGTGTTGATTAAAGTAGGTGTTGATTTAAGTGGGTGTTGATTACAGTAGGTGTTGATTTAAGTGGGTGTTGATTTAAGTAGGTGTTGATTTAAGTAGGTGTTGATTTAAGTATGTGTTGATTAGAGTAGGTGTTGATTAGAGTAGATGTTGATTACAGTAGATGGTGATTTAAGTAGATGTTGATTTAAGTGGGTGTTGATTTAAGTAGATGTTGATTTAAGTAGGTGTTGATTAAAGTAGGTGTTGATTAGAGTAGGTGTTGATTAGAGTAGATGTTGATATAAGTAGATGTTTATTTAAGTAGGTGTTGATTTACGTAGGTGTTGATTTAAGTAGGAGTTGATTAGAGTAATTGTTGATTTAAGTAGGTGTTGATTAAAGTAGGTGTTGATTAGAGTAGGTGTTGATTAGAGTAGATGTTGATTTAAGTAGATGTTGATTTAAGTAGGTGTTGATCTAAGTAGATGTTGATTTAAGTAGATGTTGATTTAAGTAGGTGTTGATCTAAGTAGGTGTTGATTAGAGTAGGTGTTGATTAAAGTAGGTGTTGATTTAAGTAGGTGTTGATTTAAGTAGGTGTTGATTAAAGTAGATGTTAATTTAAGTAGATGTTGATTTTAGTATGTGTTGATTTTAGTAGGTGTTGATTTGAGTAGGTGTTGATTTAAGTAGGTGTTGATTAAAGTAGGTGTTGATTAGAGTAGATGTTGGTTAGAGTAGGTGTTGATTTAAGTGGGTGTTGATTAAAGTAGGTGTTGATTTAAGTAGGTGTTTATTTAAGTAGGTGTTGATTAAAGTAGGTGTTGATTAGAGTAGGTGTTGATTAGAGTAGATGTTGATTCGAGTAGATGTTGATTTAAGTAGATGTTGATTTAAGTGAGTGTTGATTTAATTAGATGTTGATTTAAGTAAGTGTTGATTTAAGTAGGTGTTGATATAAGTAGGTGTTGATTTAAGTAGGTGTTGATTTAAGTTGATGTTGATTTAATTAGGTGTTGATTAAAGTAGGTGTTGATTAGAGTAGATGTTGGTTAGAGTAGGTGTTGATTTAAGTGGGTGTTGAATAAAGTAGGTGTTGATTTAAGTAGGTGTTGATTTAAGTAGGTGTTGATTAACGTTGGTGTTGATTAGAGTAGGTGTTGATTAGAGTAGGTGTTGATTAGAGTAGGTGTTGATTTAAGTGGGTGTTGATTTAAGTAGGTGTTGATTAAAGTAGGTGTTGATTAAAGTAGGTGTTGATTAAAGTAGGTGTTGATTAAAGTGGGTGTTGATTAAAATGGGTGTTGTTTTATGTGGGTGTTGATTAAAGTAGGTGTTGATTAAAGTGGGTGTTGATTTAAATGGGTGAAGAATTAAGTGGTTGTTGATTTAAGTGGATGTTGATTAAATGGGCGTAGAATTAAGTGGGTGTTGATTTAAGTGGGTGTTGATTAAAGTAGGTGTTGTTTAAAGTAGGTGTTGATTAAAGTAGGTGTTGATTAAAGTGGGTGTTGATTTAAGTGGGTGTTGATTAAAGTGGGTGTTGATTAGAGTAAGTTTTGATTTAAGTGGGTGTTCATTAAAGTAGGTCTTGATTAAAGTAGGTGTTGATTAAAGTAGATGTTGATTAAAGTGGGTGTTGAATTAAGTGGGTGTTGATTAAAGTGGGTGTTGAGTAAAGTATGTGTTGATTAAAGCAGGTGTTGATTTAAGTAGGTGTTGATTTAAGTAGGTGTTGACTTAAGTAGATGTTGATTTAAGTAGATGTTGATTTAAGTAGGTGTTGATTTAAGTAGATGTTGATTTAAGTGTGTTGATTTAAGTAGGTGTTGATTTAAGTAGGTGTTGATTTAAGTAGATGTTGATTTAAGTAGATTTTGATTTAAGTAGATGTTGATTTAAGTGGGTGTTTATTTAAGTAGATGTTGATTTTAGTAGGTGTTCATTTAAGTAGGTGTTGATTTAAGTAGGTGTTGATTTAAGTAGATGTTGATTTAAGTAGATGTAGATTTAAGTAGGTGTTGATTTAAGTAGATGTTGATTTAAGTGGGTGTTGATTTAAGTAGGTGTTGATTTAAGTAGGTGTTGATTAAAGTAGGTGTTTATTAAGGTAGGTGTTGATTAAAGTTGGTGTTGATTTACGTGGGTGGTGATTAAAGTAGGTGTTGATTTGAGTTGGTGTTGATTTAAGTGGGTGTTGATTAAAGTAGGTGTTGATTAGAGTAGGTGTTGATTTAAGTGGGTGTTGTTTAAAGTGGGTGTTGATCCAAGTAGGTGTTGATTAAAGTGGGTGTTGATTAGAGTTGGTTTTGATTTAAGTGGGTGTTGATTAAAGTAGGTGTTGATTAAAGTAGGTGTTGATTAAGAATTGGATTGTTGATTAGGTAGGTTTGATTTGGATGTTGATGAAGTAGGTGTTAATTCAAAGTGAGTGTTGATTAAAGGTGGTGGTGATTAAAGAGTGAATTGTTAAAGTGGTGGCGATTTAGAGTGGGTGTTGATCTAGAGTGGGATTGTTGATTAAAGTGGAGGTGTTCGGTTAAAAGTGGGTGTTTGATTTAAAGGTAGATTGTTGATTAGAAGTGAACATTTGATTAGGTAGGTGTTGATTTAAGTTGGTGTTGATTAGGAAATTGGGTGTTGATTCAGTATGTGCTGATTAAAGTAGGTGTTGATTTAAGTAGGTGTTGATTTAAGTAGGTGTTGATTTAAGTAGGTGTTGATTTAAGTAGGTGTTGATTTAAGTAGGTGTTGATTAAAGTAGGTGTTTATTAAAGTAGGTGTTGATTAAAGTTGGTGTTGATTTACGTGGGTGGTGATTAAAGTAGGTGTTGATTTGAGTTGGTGTTGATTTAAGTGGGTGTTGATTAAAGTAGGTGTTGATTAGAGTAGGTGTTGATTTAAGTGGGTGTTGATTAAAGTAGGTGTTGATTTAAGTGGGTGTTGATTTAAGTAGATGTTGATTTAAGTAGATGTTGATTTAAGTAGGTGTTGTTTAAAGTGGGTGTTGATCCAAGTAGGTGTTGATTAAAGTGGGTGTTGATTAGAGTAGGTTTTGATTTAAGTGGGTGTTGATGAAAGTAGGTGTTGATTAAAGTAGGTGTTGATTAAAGTAGGTGTTGATTAAAGTGGGTGTTGATTAAAGTGGGTGTTGATTAAAGTGAGTGGCGATTTAAGTGGGTGTTGATCTAAGTGGGTGTTGATTAAAGTAGGTGTTGATTAAAGTAGGTGTTGATTAAAGTGGGTGTTGATTAAAGTGGCTGTTGATTAGAGTAGGTGTTGATTTAAGTTGGTGTTGATTAAAGTGGGTGTTGATTAAAGTATGTGCTGATTAAAGTAGGTGTTGATTTAAGTAGGTGTTGATTTAAGTAGGTGTTGATTTAAGTAGGTGTTGATTTAA